AGTGTAGCATGAGTACCAAGACAAGGTAGTGAGTAGGAATCACAGGTTGACCGAACAAGAACAGCAAAAACAATCCAATAAGGAAAAATATAGACACCAATAGAGGTCAAAGCGGATATGAAAATAAGGCACACAAGTATACCGAAATTAAATCTATGTACAGCCAAACTAAACCTAAATGACCCCTATATACCTAGAAGGTAAACTCATGCACATGTTTAAATAAAACTCGAACAGGACCCCATAAGCCCGACATGTACGTTGAATAGCTAAGTCTAGATGACAGAAGAGTAACCCATATTTGAATTAAAGAACATCACCCGGGCTCCCAGCCCAAGTAACGAAGAACAAGTCAACTCCCAACCCAGCTAGCAAGAGTGACTATCAACCCAGGCCGCCCAGTCGGACAACCCACTCGCAGGGACTAAGCCGCCCAGCTAGAAAGAATGATTCGGGGGCGTATCAACTCCGTAGAGGGTCTTAGATATTAAAACCGCCCACCCAACAAGTTCACAACTAGCAGCGCAGGTCACCCAGCTAGTAAGACTGACTCGGAGGCATATTCTAAAGAGGATCTCAAGTAGGCTCCAACACACCATGAATCAACATCCACTCCCAAAGATATCACAAAAAGGCTTCATGCCTGAGGTACTTTAATCTTGAGAAAGCACACAACCTCTTATAACATATCAGAGTCATAGAAGTAGGAAGAGAAGATATAAGGGCTAAGAAGATGTACATATTCCTAAATTAAGGCCCACACTATCAGACCCAAGTTTGCTATTCCAGTCTACAAGGACCTAGTTTATCTAAGCGACATCAGAGACATACCAAAATCACAAGGTTCACAAGTCTAAGGCAACCCCAATCTATCCTAGACTAAGGCCAAACATGCTTTATGAAACGCATCGTAAAATAAGTAAATCATATAGCATGTGGAAACAAACATGCAACCCCAGCTAGTGATGGTACTAGCCTCAAAACAATAGTAATCAATCCTAAATCATGGTTTCTAAAAAGAAAAATAGGAATAACAAGGTACCTGCTCCCAATTCACACTTATCATCATGAATTCATATATTCATGCTTAATATAATTAGAAAGAAAGTCATAGCCTAGTTGTAGGCCAACCGCGCGCACTCTAAATCACAATGCCAGAAAGTTTCCCTTCAGAACAACCTCGGAACACTTCCATGCTATCAAGAATGGGATTACAACGTCAATACGATCGCATAGACAGTAAAATAACCCAAAATAAAGACGGACCAATTTTAGAGTCAAACCGAAATAGTGGGACCCATGCCAGAAATTTTGGAATTGATTCCTCCAACAGGTCTTAGACTATACCTTGAACTTGTGTCACAAAATTAGACACAATTCGAGCGTAAAACAGTGGAGACAACAACACATAATGAAATCACAAATTTAAAAGAGAAGGGGTAGGAGCTTAAACAACAAAATTACCTCAAACGGAAGTTCAACAACACAATTCAATCAAGCACCACGTTTCCCTTGGCAATTATGAGTGCGTGAGACTTTGAATCACTAAAATCAGAGTTCAAATGGAGGAGAAGTCACTAAAATACCAACTGGTGCCAAGGCTGGTCGCGAATCAGCCTTAAATAAGGAGGGCAGGTTAGTGGCCTTCATGACCGTAAGGTGGCCACGCATGAATGCAAGGATGCCGCTCACAAATGCGAGGACACACCCTATCGCTGGCTGCACTTGCAGCAGCCTACACGCACACATAAGGACAATTGGTTGCTCGCAAACACAATAGCCCACGTACGAATGCACACAACTAGGCATCAACTGCTCGCTAATGTGAGGCCACGTGCACGAACGCGAGGCTACCTCAGCTAACAGCAAAGTGCAAGGCCTCCAATCTTTGATGGGGTACCCATGATTTGTTTGGAACCCCATGGGTGCAAATGAACTATGCTACCCTATCGTATTTGGTATTTCAAACTCAATGGAACCATCAAAATTCCCCACACCCAATTTCTATTTTAAGCAAAAATCCACAAGGATTCTCAGAATTAGGTCAAAAGCCTCTGGACCTAAATGAGGGGTCATTCTAGAGAGAACTCAACATTCCAAAGCTAACCACACTGATAAAATTCCTTTTTTACTCAGACTGTTGAATAAAGTCAAACTTAGGCCTCAACTTGAAAGTAAAAATGCCTAATAGCATAGACTCATACTGAAAGCCTTGGGAGTCATGCTCACTATGCTACTAGCCTAAAATGATGCTTTCGGAGCTGATGGAATCGTCGAAATTGGATTATGAGGTCATCTTCCTAAACTTTTGATTAAAAAATGACCATTCAAGGTTTAGAAGCTCTAAAACACTAAAACTCGCATAAAAACTGAACGAACAACCAGGTCACCAAACTTTAAGTCCAAGCAAGTAATAAATAACTCGAGGTAACTATAGGAAAGCTATAAATACTTCACTGGAGGCATAAACACAAAAATGACCTTGAGTTCATTACATGAATGGACTCCGAAAGATGCCAAGCAATCAAAAACATGACGAGAAAGCCAAAACAAGCAAAATGATACCCATATCAATAAAGGAATTCAAAAATGCAAAAACGACCCAAAAATACCATCGTGGGACTTATGCACGGAATCAAAAAATTGACTATATCACAAGTTCTCAAATAGCTCAAGGAACTTGTGCCCCAAAACTGGGCATAATCTGAGCACTGATGAAGCGTTAATGGTTAATTTAATGTTGAATCTCCATGTTCTAAGCTTATTGTTAACAAATTGTTAATCACCTCTTAATTGATAATTTAAATTTCTCGAATTTACTTCTGTGACTAAATCGATTAATAAAACATACAAAAGTCTTGGTAAGGTGAATCCTTCCCTACCATTCCTTGTGGGATTCAACCCAAACTCCTTTTTGGATTTTATATTGATAACGACCACCTACACATTGAATTATAAGGTTTGTAGCTGATCATTATCACATACGCAACAAAAATAACAAAATATGATCACCACTACTCAAGGAATAGAAGGAGATCATGAAGAATCAACTACCGAAAGAGTAACTCAAGGATCTCAACCTTTACCTGAAGGTACTAGTAAAGTAAACACTCAGTAGAACTAATGTTAACCTACAGCTAGAACAAGCCACTAATTTTCCGTAGCCTAATCAAAGTTAGGGTCAATGCCAAGTCTACCGGTCTATTCAAGGTAAATTCCCACATTAGCAAAGCAACCATGGTCTACGCACTAGCGAAGGGTACAAAACCATGACAATTTACAACAAGGAGCAATTATATTAGCTAAAGGATCATTAAAGACACAATACATAGCACTTAGATTACCAAACTATTCTAAAGTCTCAAGTATCATCTCCGAAGAGGCCAACAATACCAAGCTAAGCCATATGTAAGGAATTTCCAACCTAAGCTAAAGATTTTTCTAATTAATACTAGTCTAAGGCTCTTACGAGAATTAAGAAAATAGGAGTAAGTAAATAATTCTTAACCCATGATATACAATCCTAACCTAGATGCAACCTATACTAAGCATAATCACATAGAGCACAATCTAAAATAAGTAGTTTGCAGCCTATCTAGAAGCCAAACTCCAATGTCAGACTATCCACGAGCTACCCAGTTACTCATAATGTCTACAAAATTCCACACCACTATCAATATTGTAACATATCAGTCACTATAAGAAGAACGATACCCATATTGCTATAATACATCCCGGGTCCAAAATCATGTCAAAAGTAGTCCAGTGGGACCCATTAATGAAATTGCAAAATTGTACCGATAAGTAGATCCCTAAAATATTGAGGAATTTTTTCTCCAAAATTGGGCACATTTCGAACCCCTAAACCCATCAAAATTAGTCCCCACAAGTTAAGGTTCAAGAACACACTTTAAAAGGAATATAATGGAGGAATTGACAGAAACTTACGAGAATATCAGAAGATTACCGACCCCTAATGCTCTCCCGAGAAATCCCCACCTCAAACCCTTCAATTCTAACTCAAAACTGAGCCCTAAGGTCTTATAATGGAGGAAAAAGATATAAGGAATAGGCTGAAATTAGTGGGGCTAGTCTTTAAAAGGCCAATAAATTGTTAATTGCTATCACAAGACCAAGGGGTCATGATCACAATGAACAAAATAAATTACTCATTGAGAGATAAGGGGTCACGATCGCGATGAACAAAATGGTTAGCACTAGCAAAGCCAAAACCCAGGTAAAGCTCCGATGTTCGTTGGATGCTCGAGATTCATTCTGGACCCTGTTGATGCAAACTAACTACGTTATCCAACCAAATTTGACATTCAAAACTCAATGGAATCACCAAAACTTCTATTGAAGGTCATCTGAACAAAAAGTGGCCCCACATCACATAGTCCCATTTTAGCTTAAATTCACAAGGAAGCTCAAAATGAGCCCAGAAGCCCTGGACCTGAGTCAAAGATTTTTTTTTACTAAAATCGGTGTTTTAGAGTTTATGTAACAATCATAATTGACTCTAAAGTCTGTATGCTTGAAGTTGTGACCGAAGGCAAATATCTAAACTTCAAAAGCTCCAAAATAGGAAAACTCTCCTAAATACCTAACGAACTTCCCAAAGACAAAACTATCAGAAAGTCATAAATGACTTGGGGCTACAACAGGCTAGCTCTAAACATTGAAAATACTAGACAAAAGAGAAAATAAATTGGAGGGTCATTACAGAATTACAACATACTATGTCAAAAACAATTATGAAACTACATATGTATAAGTGAAATCCATATGTGAAATTCAGCAAGTAAGTGAAATATCTGAGTGTGTCAAAATATACACTTGTAGTTAAACTGACACAAATTAATGCTCCAAAGAAAGCGTTCTCACAGTAAACATCATTATCCTTTAATGAAAACATGGTTATTCCTCTGTAGAAGTGTTAATTTCTATATCCTCCTATGCATGTACAATTGATCGCGAGCTAAGAAATGATCTCTTGGCATTTATGCTAGCCACCATTTATTTGGAGTTCCATTAGGTCGATAAGCAACGTTTAATAATCTCTCACTTGTTTCCTCTTGTAATTGCTTTAGGTAATTCCTGAATTGTTCTGTTATCAAATAAGACAGTCCAACAATTCAACAAAAACAATTAAAGAAAAATGTGAAACCAAACCATATCACATAAACATTTCTTTTGGGAGGACTTTAAAAGCAACAAAATTATGTTGTCATCAACATAGTGAGAAAACAAAAACCTTTTGAACATTTTAAATATGAAATGTTGCAGGCCTTCCAGATAAGAAAAGAGAAACATATCAAATATATTTTTCATAAGGTTGAAAAAAATAATTAACAAGGAATAAGAATAATTACAAGAAAATAATAGAATATGTATTTCTTATGTTACTTTAGATTTTAGAAAGCTCCAAATAATGAGGAAGAGAAGGAGATAGGAGGGACAAAAGAACAAAACCATTATTTTAGATCTAGAGGGTCTGCTTCTTCATCACTAGATATAAATCGAAATAAAATAGGTCAATTTCAATTATTTTTTTTAAAAGTGGAACTCTAGACAATATTTTTGTGTACTAACCTTCCAGTTTCAAGCGATCACCTCTTCTTTTTTGACAAAATGATAATACTGTTCAAGCCTAATTTAAGGCAAAATAGTATGATAGACACTTGTCTTGTATGAGTTTGTATTGTAGAAAATTGTACTTAACCACTTGCGAATTAAACCCTTAAGCTCAATTAAAATAAGACTTTTAAACTCATATGACCATTGATCGAGCTTATTTGACATTTGTTTTGTTGACTCAGTTATAGCTTGTGGCATCATACTTATAAAAGTGAGTGGAAGCAACAAATTTGCTTTTCAAAAAATTAAGTAACAAAAAGAAAAAAGGAAAAAACAACAGTTTTTAAACCTTCCCTTTTCTTCCACTACATCTCCACCCTATTTTGTCCATTGATCCTCCCTCAATGATTGGGTGTTTTGGTGAGTTTTAGCGGTGTCAATGAAGTTTCTTGATGTTGAAAGAGAATTGACCGTCAATGGTGATCTTTTTTTGGTCGTGGTTTGGGTGATGGATGGTGAAGAGAAATTGAGAGGAGAGTAAATAAAATTATTTTTTTCTGCGTTGAACTCTATTTTTGACTATGCATGCTCTTCTTCTTCTTCTTCTTCTTTTTCAAGGAAGACCCCAAAAATGCTCCCAATCTATTTTAGCAGATTTATCCAATTTCTTCTAATAAAGTCATGTCTCCTAAATTTTCTCCATATTTGCAACGCAAAGCATTTACTATCAACAACTCAACCATATATATGCTTGAAACATCACATAACCCCAAAACTAATAAATATTTGTGAAGATTAAATATAAAGGGAACCCAAAACCAATTTTGTGTAATGAAAATCAATGAGTTGTCAAAAGAATCTAGCCCTCTTTTGGCGTGAATGAAAATGAAGAAGAAAAGAATAAGGGGAATGGAGATGGTGTTGACAGTGTTTGTGGGTCAGGTGAGGTGAGATGAAAGAAAGGTGAAAGAAACAACAATTTTATTTATTTATTTATTAAATAGAAAACTTATTATTTTTTCTTTTTATTTTACATTTTTTATTAATAGTTATGAAGATAATTATAACATGAGAATAATATATGCAATGTGGATGTGAAATGTCATTCATGTAAGGGAGAGTGAGTTATACACTCAATGCCCAATGCATGGGGTCGCCTAACAGATCTTACAAAAATTATGTGTTAAATGTTTTAGTTAATATTGTTGACCGTCATAATTCTTGAATAAATGAATGATACTTAATAGTTTTTTAAGCTATCGAAATAAGAAGAATGAGAGCAACCAAATAACAAGTTGTAGTATCACATCTTTACTATTTAGTAACACTCTGAGGGTGATTATATATTCCATAACATTTATCGTAAAAATACATTGCGAAATTTTACTTTTTCACTTATCATTGGTCTTCATGTTTTTGTCATGTCTCAAAATTGTCATATTTTATTAATTAGCTATTTGAAAGTAATTTTATTTTATTCATCATGAAGTGATTATTTTATTATAATACGAATAACATTTATTGATTATTTTCTTTTAGGCCAGTAAATTTTATAGTATAATAATAATATATTTTTAGAAATAATGATTATTGCATTATTAAAAGTTCAGATATTAGAGTTGATTTGCATCTCATAATACTTTTTATATCATTACATTATTTGTACTTGTATAACTATGTTAGAAGTTTTATTTTCTAAGAGTTTTCTTAATCATGTTTGTAATTATTTCAAACTATTGGTGTATTTTTATAATTTTGTGTTATTATATTATTATACTTTATTGTAAATTAAAAATTTAAAGATCCATGGGGCTTATGCCGCCCAAGCAGAAACAGAACTTATTCGTAAGGAGAAGGAAGATCTATGTGGTGAAGTTCTTCTTCTTCATCGGGCTCTACAAGGAACTATCAACCCCACAAAGC